TCTGCTAACGCCTAAAACAGAATTAATGCTGAGAGCAAAGACCAAAATAACCATTTTCAGAGACCAGCTTTGCAGTGACTGTTTCAAAAGTATTTAACACAAACCGTTACAGGAGACGGTGCCGACAAAGTCTTGCGTTTTACGAGGAACGCTGGACTGACCTGTAAGTGACTCTTTAATTTCAGGTAGTCAATCATGATGTTCTCGGCCTCCTTGCACTTAAACTGGCTTTTTTCCAGACTGTTCTCCAGGACCCGCAAGTTCTGAAAACAAACACGAATCATTGCTCATTGTGACCTTTGACCTGTCACTATGCACATCTTATAACAAATGAGAACCATATAAAAAGAAACTGAGAGGCAATGACACTATTTTGTTTTTGAATCAGAGAGGTAACTACCATGGCATTCTCCTCTTTTTTCAAAGTGCGCACACCAGGGGGCGCTACACTGTGCTCTGGTTTCATTCTCCGGTACTCCATCTTCAGCTCTTCACGGCGCCTCTCATAGAGCTCAGTGCCATGTTTTAGGGCATTAAGACGCTTCCTGTTGGATAGCACGCAGTCGTCTAGTGTTCCAATGATCTCCTGTGAGACATGCAGAGGAGGAATGCAGTACAGTCATGCATGCGGACCATGACAACAGATTTAGTGTGCAGTCCTGTGAAGAACTAAGGATACCCTGCTGCTTCCACAGGAATTAAAAATGTAAGTAATCACACACCTAATTGATTGATCATCATCGGTGTGAGCAGGTCTACAGAATTCAGGTATGTTAACACAATCTTCACGGAAGAGGACGTTCCAGTGAACTCACAACAAGCTCAGAGAAACTGCAAAAGCCCTTCATGATCCTTTTTCTCAGTCAGTTGTTAGATATCTTCAGTTTGTTAGCCTTTGGTTTGGATTTTCACCTGTGTGTCTTTCTGCTTAGCACTCCAGGTTTGTGCACCCCCTCCCAGTCTGTTTTAACAGCTCTTAAATTAGCATAACAAATATTTTTCATCAAAATTCAGGTGAAATTCCTATGGTAGTCACTTTTGACCGGGAACTCCACAGATTCAAGGTTGATTAAAACACTCAAAATTCAATGAAAGAAGTGCTCATCACGTTTATATGTTCAAGTGCATAGTGTGGAGGATGTCATAAGGCCTGGAGGCAATCACATGTAAAACACAATATTTATGAGTGTTTTAAGTCGTAAATCGGGGCGATTTGACCCGATCACGACAGGAAGGTTAGTTTGCTCTTTTTTTCTTGCCTTTTTCAGTTTGGTATTCTAGTTCATTTTCTCTTTTATTCTCAGCCCTGACTCGGTCCTTTGTAATTCCCTGAGTTTGTTTTCCTGCCCCCTGCGCTCTCTGTGTCAAGTCTGTTTATTTCCTGAAATCTGTTACTTGTTTTACTTTGTTGAGTTTTTTGTCTTTTGTGCTCTGTATTTAGTTATACATTCATTGTCTTGTTTTCTCACTTAGGTTTAGCTGCCCTCCCTGGCATGCCTATTTGTTCCTTCAGTTTGTCTCAGTTCTTTGTTGTGTCCTCTCTCATGGTTGCGTGTCTTCTAGCTGTTGGCTCTTTAGTTTTGGACCCTCGTTCCTGGCCAGCCTTTGTTTTGTATTTTGAGTTTATTTCCTTTCCTGTCCTGCATTTGGGTCCAAATCTTGTGTGCCACACAGCTGGACATGACAAACCCAAAACAGCTTAAGCAGATAGTCTGCACACCTTAGTGAGCATGTAAAAGGTTAAGGGCCGTGGAGGGCTGATGATTTAGGGACCTACGAGTCACTGAGTGGACCGTGGACACCTCTACATACCCAAGTATTCCAGAGTCAGTGTGAGGCCATCTGTCCCACAGCTAAAGCTCGGACCAACTTCAAATGATTTCACGTTGCGCTTACATGACTCTGGTAATTTAAACCTTGGAAAAGATCTTTAAAGTGTTATTTGATCCCCCATTAATGGTAAACTTGATCCTTCGTAATTTGCTCATCAGCAGAGTGAAAGTGTTGATGATGCTAAACCCTTTATATTAAAGTCTGTCTAAGAGCACCTCAAAAAATCCAGTCCTCACGTTAGACTTCTGTTTGCTGACCTCTCTGCTTTTAATAAGACGCAGCCTCACGTTCCAAACTCCCAGAACAGCTCCTGATGCTGACTTTAAACTTCCTACTGACGAGTCGACAGGTCCTCGTTAACAAATGTCCGGCAGGACTGTGTCATGCTCTGGTTCCCCTCAGGGATGTGTTCTCGTAATTATGTATGCCGACAGCTGCAGGACTTCTTCTGAAGACAGATTTATAATTGCCTGATATCACTGTCCTCTGAGTCTGTCCACGGCCCTGTTTCGCCTGAATTTGTGAAGTAGTGTGATGATAACTATCTGGAGCTAAATGTGTGTCAAAAACAAAAGAAATGATCATTGATTTCAGACCCGTAACCCTGAGTATAAAGCGAGTGTTATTTGTGAGATAGTGCAGTCTTATAAATATCTCGGCACAGCCTTTGACAAATATCTCCATCATAAAACAGGATCAACAGAGAATGTGTTAGTAGGGAAGTTTTATGGCATTTTTATTGTTAATTTATTGAAAGTCTTTGAAGATTTTCTTTTATCTGCTGGCTCAGTATGTATCAAGGATAGAAACTCGCTCGGCAGTGTTGTTAATAAGTTGGTCGCCGTGACCTTGGACCCGACCCAGTGTAGAATAAACTAAACTTAAAGTCCTTCATTAAAATTCAGAAACCTAAAATCCTCGTTTCTCAGCTCTTAGATTACTTACTGCTGACAGATGATGAATATTTCTGTGGATGTTTATTCTTATACATTTCTCCTTGTTATTCTATTTATTTATTTCATCCTTATGTTATTTTTCTTGATCTCTGCTTTACTGTGCATCAAAGCTGGTTTAAAGACTGTGTGTTATGTGTAAGCTGCAAGCAAAAAGCTCTTTTTGGGATTAATGAAGTCGAATCTGAATTAGTGCTGTCAAGAAGAGTGGACCAAAATTGCCCCACAGTGATGTGACAGATTGATAAAGTCACAAAAACATTGCTGCAGCTTATTGCTGCTCAGTCACTGACGGACTTATTTCTTCACAGTACTGCATTTCAAGTAAAATCGGAGTTCAGGGTGCGTGCACAGGCTTCCTCTCACCTTCACAGACTTGTTGCGGTTGGATTCCCTCTCCCTTGCTCTGTTTTGAAAGGCCGCTCTGATCACCTGCTCATCACGCTAAGAGGAAGACACCAGCGTCACCAAAAATGAATTCTAAAACACATTTTTTTGAGTGAAATAAACGTGGTTAAAAAAGAGGAAAAGAAGGAGGATTGTTGTCTCCAGCTTCATAAGGACCAGAAATGACTTCCTGCTAGGTAGGCCAGGTTCCTCAGTCTGTGTGTGACTGCACTATTATCTTCTTTATTTTAAATTAAATAAAGTTCAGATCAGCATTCAAACATCTTTAGCTTGTGTTGTGACCATCTTACAGCATGAGCTCCTGCCAGCTTCCTGTGCAGCCTCCTGTTGTCCTCCCTCAGCTGATGGATCAGCTCCTGGTTCTTCATGATGGCAGCTTCATGTCTGTCATAGCACGCTTTTCTCTCCACCTCTATGGACACGTTTCATCACCACCACAATAATACAGAGAAACAGGTGACCCACAGTCACCTGCTGAATTTATCGGCTCTAAGTCAATTATAAGAGTGTTAAAGTTCATTTAAGGACCTAAATGGCAGTTTGCTGTTTTTCACTCAGCTGCTTCGTCTCGACTCTTTGTGTTCCAGGTGTTGCACTTTCTGCAGTTTATCACAGATGTGAGTAATGAAAGAGCTGTGTGAGATAACTGTGTAAATCATGCTGATTGTAAAATGCTTCATAAAGTTAAAATGAAATATCCTCAAGCTGGATGCCTACCTGTGCGTTTCTGTGCCATCGTTTTTTTTCTTCTGATGGAAGAAAGATGGAACTCAGCAGGACCCTGAGTGTACCTGTCAGACGGTCACAGCTGTTGCTCGATATAACCAAAATAAGGTTGCACTGTTTTATATAAAATTAAAGTACACCTGCCTCAGACAGACAGACCACTGTTGCTTGTGTTTACCTCACAGCGACTGTATGATTTACATTCATTAGATGGGATTTCAGATGAGGAGTAGCGATCATTCAGGATGGAAGCAGAACCTCCATAATACAGAACTGATTGTCACGAGAATCAAGCTATGGTTCACGTGTAAAACAAATCATTATCTTCAGTAATCAGTCCCAGGTGTTTTGGAGACTATACAAACAATAACATTGTTGTTTAAATTTTATTTAATTTAATAACTGTACAATACTCTCTGTATATAGTAACCATTCTCCTTAATGTAAATATGTAAGAACAATTGTGTATGTTTCTGTCCTGTGTCCTGTGTACTGTTTGTTTGTATATGTGTCTTTTTGGCTGCTGTTACAACCAAATTTCCCCTTGTGGGACAATTAAAGGATTATTCTATTCTATTTATTTTACAGCTTAAAATATCAATCACAGTTTAGGGCACTGAGAATTTTAGAAGACAAGTCGTTTTATTCATTCTCTGCAGCTTATTTAAAGACACTGATCAGCTGCAGGTGTCGAAACTTTGTCCTAATCAACACGAACTGGAGACAGCAAGCGTCTTTATCCGTGAGCTCTTTCATCGCTCAAATCTGTGATAAACTGCAGAAAATGCAACACCTGAAACACGAAGAGCGGAACAAGCCGCTAAGGTGCAACAGCTGCCCCCAGCTGAGCTGAAACCCGCCGAACAAACTTACCGAGCAGTCTGATTTTCCGCTTCAGCCCCGTGATGTGTTCAGCTGCCATCGCTGTGACTTTTCGGTGTTTCATTCAGTCAGTGGCGGAAAACGAAGCCTTTGTTTCTGTTGGAGTTGGTCGCAGTGTTGCCTAGCAACGTGTACACCTAAAGCCAAACCAGGGCTCGTTGAATGAATAGTCGCGTCATTCTCCATTCACTCCAGTAAGGATCACTGAGTCTCGCGATAGTTCAGGTGTTGCGCCAGAAAGTGATTGCCGTCCGCGGGAGCGCGCAGCTGCTTAAAGCTGTAGGGCCCAGATCCGTTACATAGACAGGATCAAACTGGGATAACGTGCAAAACACACATTCATGCCTTTGTTATTATGGAGGGCCAGGAGTGACTTGAATGAATGAATTAAATTGGCCATTAATTAATTCATTAAATGTTTCATTAATTATTTAATCAGAATCAGAATACTGAGAAATAGCACTAATATATACAGATCACTCAATTATAAATATCAAGAATGAACAGAGGTGATTATAAATAAATATCAAGAATACTGACAAAGAATATTACAGAGTAGTAAAGAGTGTGCGCAAAAGACTGCAACTATTGCAGTGTTTACAGTGTGTTAGAGGAGGAGTTGTACAGGGAGATGGCCACAGACACTTCCTGTGTCATTCAGTGGTGCTTTTTGGTAATCTCAGTCTGATTAAGTGTGCTCCTGTGACTGACCAGCACGTCATGGAGTGGGTGGGAGGTATTGTCCAGCACTCTTTATTTTGGACAACATCCGCCTGTCAGACACCACCCTAAGGGAGTCCAGCTCCATCCCCACAACATTACTGGCCTGGTAAATCAGTTTATTTACACTTAGACTAAGAGCTTTTATTGTCACTGTGTGGTTTCTTTCTTGCACAGCAAAATTGGGTAGCTGGACCACAAAGGCGCACAAGTAAAGAAAGGAAAACAATATGCAACAAGGGAAAAAAAATAAACAGCAATATATATGCACCCATATATGTGAGTGAACTATATCATGGTGTATGCGTAGAAACATTGAAACAGAAACATCATGCGGATGTAAACAAGGGCAGGTATATAATATAATAAATAAATAAATAAGGGTAGAGGGGCTATGGTCATTTAGGGTGGGGATGTTAATTCCACTGAGACCAAAATATTGCTCATACCAAAGATGTTGCACATGAGCCAAAAATATTGCACAGAACATGGAAAGAATGAGATACTGCAAATTGTTGATCAACAGCAGCGTCAGAGGGGTTCAATCTGTTGGCATCTGCGAATGATGTATTTAATTAATTCATTTTGTCACTCCGGGCACCTGCATGTATTTATTTTGTTTTGTTTGTTTCTTTGTTGTTCCCTTTGCACTTATCTCCACCCCCTTCCTAGAGACAGCCAGTTTGGCCCCAAGATGGCAGTGTCAGTGAGTGTGCATGAGTTTCTCTCCAAGCCATGTATGTTTTAATGTGATTATATTATGAGTTGTCCACAGATCCAGACATTGGTCTTAGTAAGCTGGAGTTATCTGAACCTTTTTTTTTTTACTACAATCAACTAAACCTGGCCTGCTCTGCTAGCCTTCTCTTTTGGCTGAGCCTGCATCTCCAGCCAGGCCTGCTCTGCTAATCCAGCTTGCTCCTCCAGCTAACCCTCTTCTGCTAAGATTGCTCCTCTGGCTGAGCCTGCTCTGCTAACTTGGCCTGCTCCTGCTTTTCAATCTGTTTTCAGGGTGTGACATAGTACAATTATAGCTTCTGTGAAAGTATTAGATATTGTAAGAACAGCACTTGAAAATAAATTTCTTTTTCTTAGCATTGTATATTGAGCTAACAAAGGTGTTTTGACACTGTGACACTGACACTGTGGACACTGTTATCAATATTATGAATATTATGCAAAAGCTTGATTTCAGTACAGATATGAGTAGTTGGATTAAAAGCTACTTAACAAAATGGACCCAGTTTGTTTGGTTTGATTCTGTATTGTTTGGTTCACTAATACTGAATAAAGGGACTCCACAAGGGTCTATTTTAGGAACCTTCTCTTCTTTCCATATGTAAGCAGATGATACAATTCTATATTCGCCAGCACCTTCTCTGATGAAGTATACACAAACCTTCAATCTGATTTTGTCACCTTAGCGATTGCTTTTTGTGATGCAAAATTAGTCCTGAATGCTAGCAAAACCAAAGTAACGTTTTCCCATAAGTCTGTGTCTGAAGCTCCTAACATCAAAACTGTGGAAGGTGATACCATAGAGGTTGTTGACTTGCACAAATACCTTGGTATTTGGCTTGATAAGAATCTTGACTTTAAACATCATATTACATATTTGATGAAATATTAATAATAAAACATTGATTTAAAAAAGCCCAAATTCACTTCACATTTTTGTATAGATTAAAATCTGGTTTCTCTATCACTTCCTGTAAGCTTCCATCATCATCCTCTAAAATATGTACATTAAGCACACGTGTAGTCTAATCTTATGCGAGGACACTCAGCTTTTCTCTTTTCTCATAAATGATATAAAGTGTTTAATATGAACTGAAATCTATGGGACCATTGTGAAATAAATTTCTGGAGTTTCTTTTCTTAATGCGTGTTTGAATATATTTCTTTTTGTTATCAACAAACTGAACTGAGTTGTTTTAATTCAGTGTTTAGGATAATAGGTTTTCCCTTTACCTTTGCGCTGTTTGTAAGGTAATAGAGCAAGCAGAGGTAAAATGTTAGATATCAGGAGAGAGACCAGCCCACTAGAAAGAACTTACGTGTAATTTTAAAGTACTTATAGA